ACTTTATCCGAAATAGTTAGGATATAAGTATTCGCGATTTTTTGTATTTTCTCTATATAAACCTTTATAAATTCGGCCGCCATTAGAGTTCCAAAATGGCCGATATGCAAATAAGCAGAATAAACACCATTTCTCCATATGGCGATTCTTTTTAGGCCTTTACTATTATTGGACAAATTTAATGTGGCTGAAAACTACATGTTGAGGACGTTTATATATTTCTTTATTTAGATTGTCACGTAATGTGGCAGTCACGTGATTTTAGCAAATATACCTGCAGTATTGAGGTCATCTATAAATTCCAATATTGCAAGGGCATAACCAAGTTAAAAATCTAAGTTTAATTTATAATTATTTTCAACACTCTTTGTGGTTTGTGAAAAGTGCTGCGAACCTACATAGATTCTACTATATAATTGCTAAAATTACATTTGTCAGACCGTATGTTGAATATTTTGCTGGTCAAGTACATTAAATGTAGATATAATTAATTCATTTGCAAGATTTCACCAGGTTCGTAGCACTTTTTAAATGTCTTCATACCTCTTGAGCGTATGTGTAAAAGCTTGTCGTAAGTCATTGAGGGTATGCCCTTGCAATAAATCGATTTATTACGACCCTTCTATTACCCTTCAATGAATCTGCATACAAATATACGGCATTTTTACTTGTCTAGGGAATGTATGGGAAGTATGTGAATAAAATGATAAAATAGACATCGCATCCAAGTTAATGGCCTCTTAAATATCTGCAAATAATATTTTATTTAATTACAAAACACATTTTTCATTGTATAAAATATAACTTGATCCGCCTCTCACTCCATACAAACTGCGTCAAATTTTACGATATGACGTCACATTGACAAGTGAATTGCGATCAGTGAATTGTTTATATATTGCTGTGTTGGATATAACCAACGACAAAAATACATGCAATAGTAAGTATTGATGCAGTTTAAAGCTATCCAACAGTTTAAAATAGCGTATCATTTCATTTTGTGGTAATTTGAAGAACATGTATTTTGGGGTGATGTCATTGTAAGCATTTCCCGTAAAAATTAGGCCTCGCCTCCTTAGTGCAGCTTTAACTGTGCTGCGTTGCTGTGGCCTTCAACTCGACATTTAGATATATCAACAACGTATTATCAATTAACAATAGTTATTTCCATTCAAATGTCGACACGATATATCCTTATGTGCTTGAAATAAAAGATACCACAGAGTCTGACACATCAGTTTCATATTTGGATATTTTATTAGAAAAAGACGTTAATAGTAATCTAACAACCAAGCTTTATGATATACGTGATGACTTTAACTTTTCAATCGTCAACTTCCCTTATTTATGCAGCAATACATCCTTATCACCTGCATATGGGGTGTATATCTCTCAGTTGATTCGATACGCAAGAGCATGCTCTCTACGTATGAACAATTTCTGAAACGAGGTAAGTTATTGACAAACAAGTTCATGAAGCAAGAATATCAACAGTCTCGTTTAAAGTCATCATTTCGTAAGTTCTATGGTCGACACAATGACCTTGTCAGCAAATACAATCTATCATTAAGTCAAATGCTGACTGACGTTTTTCATACTAATTGTCAGGCAATTATTGACACACTGAATTGTCGACGGATGTTTCCGTTATTTCCAGATCATGACAAGGAGCACAAGGCGGATGTGACCGGTCGGCAGGAGATGCTCACTCCTCCATGGCACCTGATCCTGTTTTTGGAGGTCCGTGTTTGCTCTGATTTGTATTGTTTAAATGGACTTTTAGCTTGAATACTGTTCGTTATCTTCATATCTCAAAAAAGTATTTCATATGAGACGGGGAGTTTATACGTGAATATAACAAAAAAATATATAAATATGTAAATATGTAATTCGGACAGTTCTGTGATTTAAAGATAATAATGAGTAAAATATATTAGAATTTTTGGTGCATGATATTACAGAAAGATCAGTGAGTTGAAATGTAACAATAATAAAGAAAAGAATTATCCATTTTCTTTAATAGTTGTAAAAGGTGAAGATAATGAAGAGTGACCAACCTTATAAATCCTGTAAACAGTGATCAATTACATAAATCCTGTAAACAGTGATCAATCACATAAATCCTGTAAACTGTGATCAATCACATAAATCCTGTAAACAGTGATCAATCACCTAAATCCTGTAAACTGTGATCAATCACCTAAATCCTGTAAACTGTGATCAATCACCTAAATCCTGTAAACTGTGATCAATCACCTAAATCCTGTAAACTGTGATCAATCACCTAAATCCTTTAAATTGTGATCAATCACATAAATCCTGTAAACTGTTATCAATATCCTGAATCCTGTAAACTGTGATCAATTTCTTAAATCAAGTAAGGAATATGATTGTGATTAGAGCAGAGAATAGACCTCAGGAAAATTCAGTGGTGGGATCAGATGCCTAGGAGGAATAAGCATCCCCTGCTGACCGCTCACATCTGCCACAAGAACTCTGTATTTATCAGGTAAACAGTAATACGTAGTCAAAATGGAATTAAAACAAGAAGTTATAAACTTTATACCCTTTAATTCTAATACAAATGAAAGAACTGACATTTAGAGTTATTACATTTAGTAATACAGAAATTTACATAAAATATTATCAGTTCCAACTGAGAGAGCATAATGATATTTAATGGTTCATAATGATTACTGTCCATTGGTTCTTTAAGATAAATTTTAGATTATCTTTGAAATACCCGGTATTGAAATGTTTACCATTAAAACAAATACAATTAAAGAGCAATCACGTTTGAGAAAGAGTTGAGATCACTTGTGACTGCTAGGTAAATATTTTAAAAAGTCATCCGTTATAAAGTTTTCGCCATCCTGAATTAAAGAACTTTGAATCTCACTTTGAAATTTATACTTTTTGTTTCAATTCTTCTCTTTCACATATGTGATGTTATATCAAATATTATCCACTTGTATTATAGATATGGAAATTGAAATATCAATGGTCTTAAAATCTCTTTAAAAAAGTTCTGGAATTAATTTTCATAGTAGAAGAAGCATAGTAAATAAATTTACTACAAGATTATGCACTACAGTGAACTATGTTAACTCATATGGTAAACCAAAGTTTACATATGTTCACTATCAAAGTAAATTATAGTGAATTTTTGCTAAGGTTAGTTTGAAACGAAGTTAATACTGTGTATTTTTACTTTGTCACTGTATATTTTAAATATTCTTTTTAATTCAGTTTACTAGTACCTCAAAAACAATCGTATCATAAATGAATACGTACGATCAGTATGCCTCTCAATTACGTAATTCAGTCAACAGTGCAGAAATCCATTTGAATCCTTATTATTCTCTATGCCTGCCATTGATTCAGTCACATCAATCATAAAAAAAGACTAATATATCAAAGTCGAAGTACAAAAGGTTTGTTTGATCTACAAACTAAATCTTGAATCATTAATTGCTTTATTGCTTAAACACAAATGTTTAACTGTAAACAATTGTCTTTATTAACATCTTGGAGTATTGGAATTATCCTAACACTTAGTGTATACAATATTGTTTTGTTTCCTTGATTTCTATGCCCCCTGGAGTGGATGTTTATATGTGGATTCTAAAAATGATGTTAACAAACTGAGCACAAGAAACTTGTGAACAAACCTTGAAGGCAAATTGATTTTCTGTCACGGACTTGATAGCAATTTTGTTATTAATTAATTAATTAAAATCAGATCATTTTTCAATAATGAGGAGAATGTGCTTACGCAGGCTTTTAAAATGAAATGTGGTACATGACTTTTCCTTTGGGGGATTTGTCATAAATGTTCGTGTTCGATATTCAAACTCATATTAGAGAAGGTATATTGAAACGATCCTAGAAATATATTTTTAGTCTTTTTTATTACTGTTTCATGCTAAATAACATTGACTTTACGAAAAAAAAATCATTTAATTCATAAGGATTGATTGTTATTGTTTAACGTCGAGTCGGAAAATTTCAGTTATATTTCGGTGGAATTCAAAGAAAAAGATTTACATGTACATAATTTAAAACGCATTTTGTGCTCAGTTCAACGTCATTTATGTCGAGAGAAACTAGCGATAGGGGACTTTTAGCATAATTACAACAGGGCATATAGACACATGCTGAGCCTGTTTGTAATTGAAGTTAATGTTCTTTATTGAACTATGGGCAGACATGACAAGACATAAGTTTTAAAGTCTGATTCAAAACAGCTGTAATTTTTTTTTTGTAGTATGTAATTCCGTTCTGACCCTCTCATTGTTTCACGTTGTACACTTACTGTGATCCTTTAAGCAAGCATTTAATTGACGGAGCTGTCTGTGTGTTTTGTAATAGAACATTTGATTAGTTCTTTTAATAGGTATTTCAAGTTATCAAATTAATCTTAGTTAAAGGCTATTCATTGAATTTTAAGTTTTTATGACAAATTTGTTTTTGGTGTTGTTACATCAAGTTGAGTATTTTGGTCGCAAACATTTTTATTGTTTTGAACATTTGGTAATTGGCTTAATCTTTCTATAATTGGATATATGATTTAAACTATTTGACATTTCTTTGATGTGATAATTTGAAGAAAGTATACTTTCTTCAGTATCTGTAAAACGTTATTAAAATTTTATTGAACATATTTTCTTAAATATATATTAAAAGAAATGAAAATTAACATCAAAGTGGTATAAAGTATTAAAAATGGTAGATATGATGAAACTGGTTATTTCATTTGATTGAAATTCTAAGATTTAAAAGTCACAAATATTTAAATACTTTACAACGGTGTTAATTTCTACCAAAGGGAGGGAGGAGAATTTAGAGTGACGTGTTAGTCACGGCAAAGAATCAAAGAACATTGATTTTTCCAGTTTAGTTATAAGCGGAGGAGAGAAATGGCTCAAATTCACTTCTGCCTGTCAAATACCGGCGCGAAGTTATTAGAATATGTTCCTGGAGGAGAGAAAAGTTTATAACGGGCAATCTGATTGGGTTGATCATTTTGCAGAGAAATGCTTGGAACACAAGTAGATTCTTTTCTATCGAGGACAGTTAAATATCGCTATTAATGGGAACACAGTAATCGTATTATGAATACAGGCGAGGAAACTATCTAAAACCTTGTAGTTCCTTGATTTAATTGGATATAACTTCCTATTGATTTTCCTTATTACTACAGCGATAAGAAGAACATGCTCTAAAAATCAAAAATAAAACTGTGGGAAAATATATAGCAAAGCGGGGATATGCAAAAGGTGGCTGAGAGTGACATACAAATACTTACTTCGAATTTTTATTTCATTAAAAAAAGTTGAAGTTTAGGTAAAGTTTCTGAAATAACAATGAATCATTCGATGGATTTGACGAACGGAACAAATATTTCTTCCACCACCTACACGGAAGAGCTAGCATTCATCATTCCCCTTACCTGGGGGCTGCTTGTTCTAGTCGGGTCTATTGGAAATGGATTGGTCATTTTCACACTGGGAAAGAACGGTGAACTTACACCTACTAATGTGTATGTGATAAACTTGGCTTTGGCGGATCTAACTTTTCTCATAATTGTTGTTCCCACAACCACTGTAGGTTTTGCTGTAGAGGAATGGGTATTCGGAGATGCTGTGTGTAAAATTTGTAACTATATGATATACGTGAGTACATTTTAGAATATAATATGTTTTACATGTACATTTAAATGCATATCTCTTAATCAAAAAATTAAATTTTATCTAAAATTGAACCCCTAAATTGTGAAGTTTTGGATTATGCATCCAAACTATTAAGCACTTCATTGCCTGCATGACTCTGACTCGACAACCTTTAATGATGAAATGCTAACATGGTAATTTTTACATATAAGTCAGTGACGTTCACGTGCAGAGAATGATAAACTGTGAGAGAATGGAATATCTAAATAGTTATTGTGTAAATAACGTAACATATAAAGTAAATTACAACGGCAGTAAGATTCAGAAAGGTTTTTATTTCTCCTCCTGCTTCTTATCCTGACAAAATTTGTACTGGTGGTTTACGATAATAGTCAGAAAGCAAAGTTTACCTTCAATCTTTCATAAGAATAATTTTATTGTAAAATTGATACAAAATACACACTGTATACGAAGAAATGTTTGTTAAGGCCACCCATATTTCAGAATACGTCTGATTGCCAAAGAACTGGAAACCTGACATCCTTGCAATTTTGGTTTAAACAAGTTGTTTCTGTTCCGTAATCAAATTTTAGGATTTTTAATCGCACCTTTATTTCTATTTACATGTTATTAAATCGTATTAGACAGATATATCGTGAAATTGAATATATAGAAGACAATCGTAGTGTGTGTACCAGTGTTCCTGTGCTCCAGTAAGGGGAAGGATAATTAAGTGGCTAATGATTTCGAATAAAGAAGACTTTGGCATTTAAACAATGAATATAGACTAAGATGATATTCTTGCTGTTTTCTGATAGGATGGAAACAAAAGTGTTTGATGAATGCCTTGAAAAACTTTGAATAAGATTGAAAGTAAATGTTTATCCAGCTGGCCAAATCAACAAAGGAACACGCATGTGATTTTGAGTTAAATAACAGGAATATGTAGAAATAGCTAGATAAGTCAACTGTATCAAGCAGCAAATTATAGGTGTGTTTATTATTCTCAGGAAATGATGCAGTATACAAATACATATTTCTCCGAAATACACGTTTTTACCCCAAAGTACATAATGTGAGTCATCTATGTAATGTTAAGGTACATGTAATTGTAATCTATTTTTCTGTTTGCTTTTATGATAGTAAGATTCAGAGTGTATGCACGCCGTACTGATTGTGCAATATGCGATTAATCTTTTCTTTGTTATTATGTGGAGATTACTGTATACTAAAGCGGAATACATAAGAGCTTAATCATGTTAATTGAGCAAGAATGTTTTTACAGTTGGCCCTCCATAATCGTATTCGATATAAATACTCTCATAACAAACTCTTTTTTTTAGATACTAATCTGTTCTGTGATAAGATCACTTATTTTGAGATAATTCAAATATATGAACAACAAATAAAAGTATTTGACCTGATTTGCCCTTTATATTAAGTAGACAATTTCAGTTTTTATTAACCTTGATTATGTTTTATGTAACAAAAGAAATGGAAAACCCTGTTTAAGGTTTTTCGTGTACATGTACTTGTATATGAAAGTTTTAAACTAAAGTACGTGTCACTGCATATTCTCTGGGGGAAAAAAACCTTGGATAGTTATACAAGCATTCATATATTTATTACCAAGCAGTTCTTCCTTATGTACGTCCTAAAAGCATCCCGCATTTGCATGTCAGTGAAGACCAAAGAACTAGGTATGGTTTTGGCTTTAATGTACCTTATTTATAATACGTTTTCAGAAAGTTTTTAAATTGACTAAATTATGAGTTGGATATATATATGTTATAAATCAAAAAAGAATATGGCTTAAGGAAGAAATGTTTGGGGAAAATGACGTAGATAAATTGTTTTAACGTTTAAAGCAAAAAGAAAATCACTAAATGGCTCATTTAAGGGTTATTTTCATTAAAATAGTGTCAACAGCAGTCGTCCACTTCAATTTTCCGATATGTTGCGTAAAATGTTATGGGTGTGATGTTATTAGTTGTTAGCATGGTCAACTTTGGACCCACTGACCCCCGGGGTTGATTCCGGTCGGTCGCTAAAACTCTGCGTTATCACAATGATTGTAACCTTTGGAAAGCTACTTCACTCTAATTGTGCACCTCTCAGTCCAGGGGTTAATTGGTACCTGGCAATTGAGACGAGCTGGCTATGTGGATATAAACGCATCAGCACCGTGTATGGCAGTATACGCCAGGGGGCCTAAGAATGCTGTGGATCGCATGGGTCTCGCCAGAAGTTGTGCTGGACAATGTTCTTCGCAGGTGAGTTAAGGCTAGGTATGGCATTTCTACGCAAATAATCTAATTAAAATGCCTAAGGACTATATCTGTTATGCAGAGAAAGTTAAAAATTTATAGTCTTATACAAACTTGGTACCCACGACATGAGATAGCCAGTACACATTATGACGTCATATAATGACGTCATTGTTCTTTACTACACAAGAGTATAGTAGACATCAACAAAAATGCTTCGGCGTAAGGGCATGCTCTATTTTATTTAACTGAAACAAGGTATATTAGAAGCAAAATATTCCGAAGTTTGCTGGTATTGCTGCACAAATATCAACAGCTCAGTTGTATAATTTCTATTTGTAAAGTTTTAAGTTGAATCAGGGTAAAAATGCACAGTCCAGTATAAGTTTCCTCAAATTTCGATTAAATGAGAAAATGCCTAGAATTTGTGCAGTAGTTTTATTAATCTATAGAATATTCTTCTTAGTATTATACAATATCTATGTAAAAATAAATAGGGTAATCCCTTGCGCCGAAGCTGTTTTGTTGAGGTGTTTTATTACCTCCAGTAGGGAAGATCTGTGACGTTATGACGTCATAATGTGTACTGGCTATAACATATCATGGGTACTAAATATGCGTAAGAAAATGAATTAAAACTTTCTCTGAATAATTAATATACCTCTTGTGCGTTTTTATTAGCTCATTTGCATAGAAACGCCTATACCTGGCCTTAACTCACATGAGTTTGCAAGCAAGACTATAAACCTAACCTTTACCTTTTTTAAATCTTTGAGAAAGCGCATTTAAAATCTTTGTGTGCGATGCATGTGGTATTTAATGTCGGAAAGAAAATCCCATTAAATTTTTTTTTCTGTTTCTTTTTAAGAAAATACGGAAATATGCACAAGTTCCTAACGTCACAATTGGCATTTGAGAAGTCAGATGAGCATAATGATCTACGAGGGGTGATCAAAAAGTTCGCGTAAATGCATGGATTTTCTGCATTTCAGATAGCATGGATTCTAATTTACCAAAACAATTCCATATTTTAAAAAAAACATACAGGGCCAAATTTGTAATGAAACAGTACCTTCTTCTTTAAAATTATGGAAAATTAGGTAAAAGGGGGAACCTGTTAAAGGGGGAAAACTGAAAAAAAAAATGACATAATATGTCCCAAACGAAAGTTTATTGAAACTCATTTTTTGATGCATATGAATAAATTTTGACTAGTTATTAAAAGAGAATAGAATTAGTTTTCTCACTTTATTTACTGTCTTTTTGGCAATTGGATACATAGTTTTAAACAAACCAAGAGTTTCCCAAGTCTACAAAAATTACAATGTTAATTTTGATTATCTACTGCTGTCAAATGCACGAGACTAGTCAATGTTCCACATAGCATCCGAATAAAACCTTAAAAACACATGCTAATATATATTTATATACATTTTCAAAAATCAAATAGTAAAATTAAATCAAGTTTAACCACTTATCTGCAAAGGTTTAGGTTATGTTAGCATATCGTCCAGGGATTAATTATTCGACAAATTTCAGAATTTGAAATTTGAACTTTGAAATGTTATCATGGCGTTTTATATTGGTCAATGAAATTTATTTGAGGTTCATGATAAGGTGTAAAAAAAAAAAAAAAAGGTATATTTAATCAAGTATCGTGTAAAATAACACAGCTAAGTAACTTTAAAATTCATGTTAACATCATTAACCGAAGTTTCTTTGTTCTTCTATTTGTTCCTATTTCTTATTTCAGCAAATTTCTCCTCCTGGGATATGAATTCATTTATAAAATAAAACTATAAAATGCAAAGTGAATTCACAAAAATGTGTTGAATGAACCTAACTTTCAAAATAAGTCTGAATAGCAAACGAACTGGGAACCTAAAGTCTTTACATTTTATGTTATATTTCTATTTTAAAGATTTTCTATTCTTTAGTCAAATTTTAGATTTTTAAGAAATCCAAATTTCTTTTGACATATAGGTGGATATATAAAAGTAAAACAGAAATGACTGAAATGACTGGAAATTTTGACCTTTACTCGGCACTCAGGGCCATTAAATAGGGAGGGATCTTTTTCGTGCCAGCACCTACTGCGACACAGGACCTCGGTTTATACGGTCTCATTCGAAGGACCTGTCTCCACGTCCCACAGTGGGATTCTAACCCGCGACGTAAGGATCAACTCTTTACTCCGCGACTTCTAGAGCAGACGCTCTACCACTGCGCCAAGCGGGCGACAATTTTATAATGAATCTTTTATTAATATACCATCAGTGATTTTATATTAAATAAAGGTCTTTATATTGCCAGAAAGATAACAAAACTTTGACTTTTATCACCATCTACAGAGCGATAACAAATTTGTTTTACTTTGACTTTCTTCAATTAATGAAAAGTACATGTATACGAAAATTTTATTTCAAATTACATATCGCTGCGTATTTTTTTAAAGGGGGAGCTTGGATTTTCAGACTGGAAAATAGGATACACAGTGGGTCAGAGAAAATCTATTAGAAGGGAATAAAAAGAAAAAAAATATTGTAGTATTTCCCATATGAACGCGTCTACCTTAATATTGACAAATGCAAATAAATTTTGACTAGCTTTGAAGGGATATTCAGTCAGCATTAGATGCATATGCTTCTAAAGTAATTTTTAGTCCGATTGAATAAATACAGTTTAGAAAACCAAAATGAGACGAGTTTCGAAAGTGGACAGAAATTTTAGCTACTA